AATTAACTGTACGTTTTTTTTCTTTTTCATATAAACAAACTTTAAAGAAAAAGTACACAAAAATAGCGGGTTGTGGTAGTGGCAGGTGTGTGTCTGTATCTGGTGAATTTTTGGTTCTAACATGTTTGTTTTTCATTCAGTGGGTATAAAATCCAGAAATCAAACTCAATTTAGAGTAGCAATAGTTCATAATAAAATGACTCACATAAACGTAAACAGTACAACGTGGTTTTTTTCCAGAAAGTTATTCAAGTAAATGCAATTGAGTAAATGTCACTACTACACAAGTATGCACAAAACTTCCTTTAAACTGAAGAAAATCCAACGATAAAAAGCAGAACTAAATGGAGAACTAAATTAATCGATTTCACATATTTAGTCTGTTTCAGGAATAAAGCAATCCATTAGCTTTATGAATTTAGCGTACGTTCATGTTATGCTAGTCCTAATGATGGCGGCTCCCACCAGGTTACTCACCCCACCGGGGATTACCGGTCCGGTAACAAAGCTGCTCCAACTCCGGTCCAGCTGTCCACTTCGGCTCACGGTCCGGTTCTGCAGTTCCAAAGTCCAGGAAAACATCCAGAAAAATTTCATATCCAGCCATTTAGTTGGGTTTTTTTTAAGTCCACAACAACATAGAATCCAGCTTCTTCCGGCGTGAACAACAGTCCGTATCAGCGGCCACGTACAGCTTCGTTATTGATCCCACTATAAACATAAGTATTAAAAATAAAATAAAATACTTTGTACAAGAGCGCTTTATGGCGTTCGGTTCATTCACTTGTATTCTGTATTAGCTTACTCGCGGATCTGTTACATCCAAAATGGCGGGCGCTGTGACGTATCGCAGTTCTTAACCCCAAGCCATCATGGCCAATCAAATTGCTTAAACTTGATATTAACCTTGACTGACCAATAAGGTTGAAGCAACCAAAAGGATTTACTGGCGGTAGTAAATGGCAGTTACTAGCAACAAACGCCATTTGTACTGCACGTTTTAATGTCAGCAAAAAGTACATTTAAATATTTTAATGTGTCTGGCTATAAAAGGGCATAAATAATAAAATGTTTAAGTGTAAAACACCAAAAGCTAAATATTAACTGTTTGAGGTGAATAGGTGTACCATGAATTGTAGTTAAGGAAAGATTTAAAGTGTGTGAGAGAAACCAAAGATATGACTTTTTAGGATTATTTGATGTTGGACACATCAACATGTTTTCAGAAAAAAATAGGCAAGTTAACAACTAAAGCTCTTTATTTCTTCGTTTTCTCAAGGTTAGAATGTGTGAGAGAGAAAACAAACTAAATAACATTTTTATATTGAAACAACTTTTTATGGATTTTATACCAAAGATTGATTGATTTTACCAGAAGAAATGAAGTTAACAACACAGGAAATAGCCAATGGTAACTTGACAGAGGGTATAAAGGTGGAGATTCAGTGGGTTTCCTTTGACTGAAGTCATCTTCAGTTCATTCAGCAACAAACTCCAGCCAGCAACAGGTGAGACATGCAGAGCCGAAGTGTCAGCAGAGCTTCAGTAACTCCCAATTCAACCATCAAATCTTTGATTTTCTCTGCTTATTATTCTCATATCGCAGGACGGTTGGTGTTTACAACAAGGCAGCTGATCTGAAGAACTTTGAACATTGTAATTTATTTCTTCAGGATTTTTATTGAAGTAAAGCTAAAATATGAAACAGCTGCTTCTTCTTCTGCTACTCTTCCTGTTTGTCTGATGTTTGAAATATTACTTTTTATAATGTTATATATCCAGTTTCCATTTTTTTCTTTCTTATGCGAGTCAAAAATTTGGAGTCAAAAAGGATTTCTTAAAAAACAAAGCTGTAAGTATTTTTTTTTGTCAGGGATCACATTTAAATTCACAAGATCTGATAAAACACAAGATTTTCTGTTTTGTGATCATTTGTGGATCCGTTTTGCTTCCAGATCAGTTTTATGTCAGTCAGTTTTTGCCCTTCATGTTCTCTCGCACTGTTGTTGCTTTGTCAGAAGTCAGAAGTTTATCCTTCAACGTGCAAATGCAGGACATAAAGTCCTCATAAAGATACAAAAACACAACTTTCTAAAAACAGGAATGCGTCAGTGGTCTGGTTTTGTTGGTTTTGTTGAATATCCAACACATTTAGGGTGAAATTGCAACCTGGATGTCTCAGGCTGCAACATATTCTGCATTTTATTTTGTTTTAAATTTTAACTTAGAAATTCTGTATCTTCAGGTCTCAACTAAGATATTCTTCAATTATTTAAGACAAACTAATTAGTTCTTTTCTACAAACTCCACAGATACAAACTTGTGAAACAAAGGCCAGTTGAACTCAATTAAAAACTGATCAGAATATACATTTAATACTGAGAGTGAAACTCAGGAATGACTGGACTTCATGGATAGCAGAACTGCAACAATTTATTGGCACATAGATATAAATTAGTTTGAATCGGCTGGAGAGGGAAAATCTAAAGCATGCAAAACAAAACTCAGTAGAATAGAATAAAATCTTTATTCTCATTGTAACGATGAAACAACAAAATGTAGGTGCAACTCAACAGATAAAAAATATAAAAGTTAACTTAAAGACAAAAATAGGCAAGGTCAAACTAAACTCTTGGCAGCATTCAAGATGGTGAGGGCTAATGGGTAAAAACTGGTTTTTATTTTGTTGGTTTTTGTCTTTATAGATCTGAAATGTTTGTCTAAAGTCTTGAAATGTGAGCCGAAGCTTTCTGACATTCGCAGTGCAGCAGAAAGGCCTCCATTGCTGGAACAAGTAGAATAGAATAGAAAACATTTTATTATCATTATACAAGTGTACAATGAAATTAAAAGCACTTTTTCCAGTGCAGACATGTACATTAAAAAGAAGAAGTGTACATAAAATGTATATTATAAATTTACCAAATTTAGAAATACAGAATATGAATAAATATAAAATATATATAAATATTGCACAGTAAATATCACAAGTGGTTACACTGTAGGTAGGTACCGGTGGAGGTGAGGGGCGGAAATAACTTAGTGCATTGTGAATTTAGGATTGTTACAGCTTTTGGGAAGAAAATGCTTTTGAATATGAAACATCTGCAGGCATGAAGCGGACAGCAGTCACTGCAAAGAAAACAATATAAATGAGTTTGTATCGGCTGGACGTTTCCAGGAGCCAAGTTAGGAACGTCTCTATGGGAAGAACAATCAGACCATTCAACTCGTTTTTGAACAGCTGTAATAAACAATGGATGGATGAACATTGAGAAGTGAATATTGACCTGTTTGTTTTCAGGCTGACCCTGAAGCTCTGGACCAGGACGGTTTGGTAGAAGACGATGATGGAACCACTGAAGGAAAACATTTCTTCACATGAATACTTCATCTTCAGTGGCTTCAGTGAACTTGGAGCTCTGAAATCCTTCATTTCTATCCCCTTCCTGATTCTGTTCTTTGTGTCTCTGTTTGCCAACTCCCTGCTGATCTATGTGGTCATTTCACAGAGGAGCCTCCACTCCCCGATGTACATCCTCATCGCCTGCTTGTCATTTGTTGATATGTGCCTGCCACTGATTCTCATCCCCAACCTGTTGCTGAACGTCTTGTTCAACTCGAGCGGGATCTCTCTGAGCGGCTGCCTGGTTCAGATGTTTTTGATTCACATGTTAGGCGCTTGTCAGTCGGCTCTTCTGGTCTGGATGGCATTGGACCGATACTTTGCCATCTGCAGGCCCCTTTCCTACCATGATCACATGTCTTTACCTGGATTCCTCGGGTTTGTGATTCCTCTTCTGGTCAGGAATGTGGTCATGATCGTGACAGTGGTGATTCTGGCAGGTAAAGTGTCGTTTTGCTTCAGGAATGTGATAAACCACTGTGTCTGTGAACACATGGCCTTGGTGGAGTTGGGCTGTGGCAGCACAGCCATTAACAGTCTGGTTGGGTTGATGACTGTGTTCCTGGTCACTGTGTTTGATTTCTTGTGCATCACCGCTTCATATATAATCATATTCTGCTCTGTGCTGCGTTCAGGTAAATCCAGCGCTAAAGCTCTGCACACCTGCTTCACTCACATCATCGTCATGGTCATCAGTTTGACCTTCGTTCTCACAGCTTTCCTGTCGTATCGGACCAGAAACAGCCTTCCAAATGCTGGCCGTCTTTCTGTTAGCATCATGTACCTGTTTCTGCCGAGCTGCTTCAACCCAATTATCTACGGCATCAGAACCACCGAGATCCAAAAACACATCTGGAGGACGCTGTCATTTCGCAAGCTGTGACTTACAGCTGAAAAATGATTTACATATTGTTTATTAATAAAAATGTTTCAAACTTTTGCTTGATAACATTTCAGTTTTTAAGAGGATTTTACTCCAACAGTCCAAAATATTGTGATATTTGTAAAGAATCACTTTAAGTCTAAACTCTGAGCCCAGGCTGTGGCCACATTTATTGTAGAAGCTGTTTTTAAACCTTATTTGTTCTGATCCAGCAGCTTCATGGCTGAATCTAACTTTACTTATCAACCAACAAACCAGCACCTGGTCTGGAAATGTGATCAGAACAAACTACGGTTCTGAACTGCAGAGTTAGAAACCAGAACATGGAGCCCATACTGTCTTTTAGAAGACACCGCCCTATTGGTATTCACGGATTTTTCTGTAACGTAACTCCAAATTATTTGCATAAAATTTGCCTCTTCATGGACACACCTGATGGTCCTGTCGACCCGGTTCTACTGGAACCAGAACATCTGCTCCACCTCCAGAGAACTCCTTCTCTCTGCTCTGAGTCAAACCAACCTGTTCCCCTCCTGGCCTGTGGGGGCGCTGCACCAAGAACCACTGAGCGTTCTCCGGTCCGCTCTGTGTTCACATATGGATTCAAACCGGACCCAGACCGAGGTTTGGAAGACCAGTGTGATTATCATTCAAAAGCAGGAAGTGGACTGCATCGCAAGGAATTCTGGGTAAATATATCTAAAACAAACGTGTTGCTTTGCATCCTGGGTTAGCCATCAGGGCAGAGCCGCAGCTCAGGGACTCCCAGCAGGAGAGACTAATGAAGCAGAGCAGAAACCAACGCCAGAGGAACATGAAGGCTCCCAACTCAACTCACCAAAACATCTGCAAACAGAGGTGAAAATCTGACCTTTTTCTGGTTCAACATCAGGAAGGAAAACGTAGGAATCCCTGATATGATCAGTAATTTGTTGATGAGTTTGTTTTTCAGTGATGATAAACACATTTTATGAGTTTAACTTCACGTTTATGCCAAAATGGAGAATAAACTCTGGAGAATCGGATTTAAACCTCCTGCAGCCAATCACAGTGCTGCTGCCTTCAGGGTCAGCTGTCCTGTGGGACGTCTGGACGTCGACTATAAGACGATCTGAGGGGAGACTCGGTGTCCTGATGAGGATCCAGCAGCAGGTAGGACATTTAACTGGGTTAATGTTTCAGTTTCCCTGTAGACGTTTCCACACAGAAACTGGAGTTTATTTATTTAAGCAGATCAGAGGTTAGACCTGGTTTTACCATGAATACCTGTTCAATAACTTCATGTTTACGCAACTGCTTGGTTTTAATTTAAACCAGTCTAACGAACCAGACACAGTTGTGGTGAATTTCTCTGGTTCTTTTAATCCAGTTAGTGATGGAGTCAGGATTGTCTTCACATTCTTGCAGTTTTGTTTCTATAAAACTGCATTTTTACTTAAAGTTCCTAATTTAATGTAATTAGGGTTTAGTTAAAAATTGAGGTTTTTTTTCTTCATTTTTTAAACTAAAAAGCAAAAAGTAAATTGAATTTAACAAATATTTATTTGATTTTTCCTGTGTAATTCTTTGCCCATGTTAGTTTAGATTGTTTATATGATTATTTGTGAATGAGGCAGTTTTGTTCAGTTTTCTGTGTTGATTTAACAACGATCCTAAAAACTAAAGAAACATTTTAACATGAACTTACAGAAGGATTTAAAATCTGAAGTCACGACCATCCCAGAAGTTATTGCGATAAACAATAATATTGTTCTTTTAAATGCAAAACTGAAGTTTAAAACTCCAATTCGATTTTAAAACTGGGTTTTTCAGTTTTCTTGACCAGGTTCTGGTTTTGATCCAGAATGTTTTTGTCTTTTTCCATTTCCTGTTGATCCTTGACAGGGATTTAATTTTTCCTTTTCTCTGCTTTTATTTTGAAAATGAAGCTTTGATCAAAGATAAAATTAAAAATGATCTAAATCATATTTTAAGCTGTTTTTTCTGTCTGGTTTGAGGTAAAACTGATGATTCTGTTGGTTATTGGATTTTATTTTGTCTGTTTTTTATTCTGAGCATTGAACTCATCACCAGAATGACTGGAAACCAGCAGAAGTAAGAAACATTTTATATTTATATTTACTATCTAAATACAGACAGTAAATCTAGTTCTAACTCCTGGGACGTGTTTCAGTGTGAAATGAAATTAAATAATGCAGATGTGAAAAACAGGAAGTTCTTTAGCTTCATGCAAACTGACAGGAAATAACTCAACCTTTTATTTTTTCTGTATCGTACCAAGTTCTTGTATTTAAGTGGTTTTATGATAAATGTTTTGTTTCTGTAATAGTTTGAAGGATTTATAGATGATAAAATCTGTTTCACTGAGTTTAATATCTAAATATTCAGAATTTATTTAGAACCATAAAATTCATATTTATTATGGGGAAAAAAAATCTTAATTGTTTTATTAGTATCTGCATCCTGTGGCTGCTGTGTTTTTATTTAGTAGATATTTCATTATTTCACAGACTAACAAAACTAAATAATAGGACTTTAATATTTTTATATCACTCACTTGCAGAGTTTGGTAGGAAACTTACATTTACTTGAGCAACTTTTTGGAAAAATAATAATTTTAAGAGTATTTTTACCTTTACTTGAGTAATTTAATTATGAAGTATTTCTTCTCTTACTTGAGTAAAAAACAAACATGTTTTAACCAGAAATCCACCAGACAGACTCACACCTGCAGTTTCTGTTAATGTTTAATCAGTTTTTTATTGAGAGAAACTGATTTGAAATATTTTGTTTTGCCTGATTTTGTTATTTTGTATTTATCTAAATTATTTTAATTTCGGTCCTTAAAATACAAACATTTCCCTTTAACTTTATATTTTGGTTCGACTGATGATGTGATTTTTAAATATTAAATGACTGATCATTTGATCAGGTACTCAGTACTTCAGTAAAGTTTTTACCAAATACTTTTTCTCTTTTACTAGAGTAAAAACATGTTGAAGGTTTTGGGTTCTCTGCCCCCCTCAGCACAAAACAGCAAATAAAAATAGATTCTGTTTGTTAAATTGTTATAGAAACACCTCAGAATGAGGAATCACAGCAAAAATGATTATTATAAAAACAGATTATCTGAATCTTTACTGGTTCATTTTCCCTTCTTGACAGTCAGATTGGAGAAAATCAGACAATATTTTCATAGAATCATCTGTGCAAACCTGGGAGTAGTGATGAACTCTGACCTTAACCTTCGGAGTCACATAAAGACAGTTACAAAGTCGGTCTTCTATCACCTTCCACTGAGAGAAAATACTTTAAAATGCTGTTGGTAGTTTATAAATCACTGAACAGCTTCAAGATCTGCTGCTGATCAACATTCCAGATGAAGTAGCTTTCAGCTTCTATGCACCACATATCTGGAACAAACTACCAGAAAACTGCCAAACAGCTGAAACACTGAGTTCCTTTAAGTCCAGACTAACAGTCAAATGTTTAGAGTTGCTTCTGAAACATAGTAAATGAAACGTTGATCAACATTCTGATGTGTAACGACGGCAACATGTAATGTTTACCATGTAGCGTCTTTTATGAGGCTGTATTTCTGTGTTTTGTTTTTTTGACGTAAAGCATTTTGAAGTGTTGCTGAAATGTGCTATACAAATAAGGTTGATTGATTGATTGATTGATTGATTGATTGATTGATCTGTCCAACCTGTTGTTGTTTCCAGGTGAGGCAGCGCCATGTTGGACGCTCCGCTCACCAGGAACTTGTCCCACTCCAGCTTCCGGCTCAGATGTTTTCCGGAGCTGCAGGACCGCCGCTGGATTCTGGCGCTGCTGTTCTTCCTCTGCTTCCTGTCTGTGCTGCTGGGAAACTCTGCGCTGGTCTACGTGATCCGCAGGGTGGCGCGCCTGCACAGCCCCATGTACGTCCTGGTGTGCCTGCTGTGCGTGGTGGACGTCCTGCTGGCCTCCGTCATCCTCCCCAACATGCTGCTCAACCTGCTGTTCGACTGGAGCCACATCTCGCTGGCCGGATGCCTCATCCAGATGTTTTCCACGTACTTCCTGTCGTCGCTGGAGTCCACGCTGCTGTTGGTGATGGCGCTGGACCGTTACGTCGCCATCTTCAAGCCGCTGCGCTACATGGACATCATGAGCTCCTCCGCCTTCCTGAAGCTGCTCGTCTTCGCGCTCCTGCGCAGCGTCTCCATCATGTCGGCGCTGGTGGTTCTGGCCGGTTCTCTGAGGTTCTGCGACTCCAACGTCATCCAGCACTGCTACTGCGACCACATGGCGCTGGTCCGCCTGGCCTGCGTCAGTACGCAGAGGAACCGCGCGGCTGGGCTGGCGGTGATTGTCTGTTTCGTGGGTGTGGACATCCCCGTCATCTTCTTTTCCTACGTGAAGATCGTGAAGGTCGTGGTGCGAGCGGCGGCGGCCAGCGAGGAGCGCCTGAAGGCGCTTCACACCTGCAGCACGCACCTGATGGTCATCGTGTGTTTCTACCTGGTGGGCACCATCACCTTCCTGTCTGGCAGCCTCAACATTCCCATAGCAACGGGCCTCAACACCCTGATGGGCGTCGCGTACATCCTGATCCCCGCGACGGTCAATCCCATCATCTACGGCGTTCGCACCAAAGAGATCCGCCGAGGCCTTCAGAGGATGTTCAAGCTCAGAGAAAGGAAGATCGCGTCTCTGAAGGTTTCTTCTGGAAAACGACAGACGCTGAGGACATCCGGTTAGGAGCCCACAAGTCTGACTCTTCAGAAGTAACGCAGTATAAAGTATTCATGAACCAAAGGCCTCCATCTTAATACCGTGACTTTAACCAATACTGAAAACAAATTAGGAGCGTCCAAAGTAATCCGGTTCTCAAGGGCCGCACCTGATTGGACCAGCAGGTCATTGTGGGCGGATCCCAGTGTGAACGTTAGAGTTTCTCCATGATAGGAAGTGTTTTCAATAACATCAACTATTGGTAACAAATAAAAACCATTTTAGTTGTGCTAAGCCTGAAGCACTAATCATAAACATTAGCTGGGCTAAAACTGAAGTGCTAAATTGCACCATGTTGGTGTCCAACATGGCGGAAGAGGAAGTGGAACTGCTGTGTGAACAGTCCTCATCCACTTCAAAATAGGAGCATTAACATAAACGTCTAACTAGTTGAAGAATCCGCAACAGTCGTTAATCTAAACCTAGACGTTTAATTTATTCAACTGAAAGTTTGCTAAACAATAAATCAGCATTTTAAAATTTATCTGAAGATTAATGAAGTGGAAGCGAAGTGCGCTAAACGCTAAAGTTAGCCAAAATGCTGAGGAAGTAATTAGAAGTGTGGCCACTGCTAAAATTAATGCCCATCATTTCTCCTTTTTTTAGATTATGACTAGTTTACACCTCTGGCATCAACTTTCATTTATTTCTTCAGTGTCACTTGCAGCCATTTTAATAAGTAATACTCGTGTTTGATTGTACAGAAACTGACGAGCAGGAAGGGCTTCATAATACCTTACCATTATATTTAAAAACAAAATCAATTTTGTAAGTGAAATAATGCGAAACTGGAGAAAGCTGTTAAAAAAATAAAAAAGTTTTGATCACAAATGTCAGGCTGTGTATGAATATCATGACTGACGGTGAAAACACTCAGAGCTTCTAATAGTGTTTTTATTAAAGACTGAGGGGAATATACAAGTTTTCTCTGACAATATCAAAATAAAAGACAACTGGAAATAAAGTATAAACAGATATGATGCGTTTCTTCCTCATCCTCCGACTTCCAGTCTCCAAGACAAACTGCTGTCTGTCCGTGTTTCAGACCCAAACACCTGCCAGACTTCAGGAAAATACAAGTTCAGGAATCTCACTTCATATTAAAATCAGCAGATAATAAACAGAAACCGTCATTAACGGAAAACTAACATTTAACACAGCTGAGCAGTTCACAGATCATCATCAGGAGTTTAGAGGAACAAATTCTGCTTTTAAAAAATAAAACTCAGACAGAAATCTGCAGTTAATTATAGATTAAATTAATTATTTTAGTATATATTAATATGTGGAAAATATTGTCAAAACGTAAGCAATTTAAGGGGTTTCATCTTTTACTTTATCTGCTGTTTAGGCTACCACCAGCAGGTGGCGGTAACACAGCAGGTTGGAGCGACAGAATTTAAACGTGCAATGTTGTGACAAAGTATTCACCCTACACATTTTTAATAAGTGTTTTATCACATTTAATTGAAATTAAACTCATTTACTATCAGACAAAGATGATTTCATTTTACTGAGGGGAAATAAGTGACTGAAAACCACCTGAACCAGATCAAACACTAAGTTTCTGTTCATCAGAAATCTTCTAAATCACTGAGGAAGTATGGAGGTTGTTTTAGAACCAGATTTTAGCTTGAACTTTGACTTGGCCACTCCAGAGCTTTGGTTTCTGTTTTACATGTTGACCTGTTGATTAATATCCTGCTGCAAAACCCAAAAGGGAGTTTGGGTTTTGAGTTTCCTTCAGGGTTTCCTTTCAGAAAGCAGAAATTATGGTTCCATCAATTACAGTAAATCACCAGAGGAACGAAGGAGACCAACAGCCTGACGCACCAAATCCATCCGTCTCTGAAAGGCTGCGTTGGTTTTACTCCAGATGAAACGGGATCATCTCCTTCCACTGTTGACTCATCAGGGTGTCAGCGGTAAATGTGAGGAAGACCTTCGTGTTCTTCTGGATCAGCTCTGGTTCTGGAGTTGGAACTCCCCCTTTTTCTCTTTTCGTCATCAAGCATGACCTCTAACCTTAACTGGGGCAGTGAGGTCTGCAGAGCCTCCAGCCAGTCTGGTAAACTCGGTGCAACATTGGCTACATTTCAGCTGGTGCAGTTCGCCTCCTCCTGAGCTGTCAGGTGTTTGTGGTTGTGTAGCAGCAGATCACTGAGATCCACCTCCTGAAGCTCCTGCAGTGAACGCACGAGCATCAGAACAAAAACTGGTCTGATGGTCTTTTCCACCGCATGGACACTCAGCTTCATGTAACTCTCTATAAGCCGTGGTTTCAAGGCGCATTTAGGAAAGACGTCCGATGAAACGCTGTTCCAGCTGGTCTGCAGGATGAGGCTCCCTGTCACACAAGCCTGAAAACACCAGCAGGACGTCTGAGCAACACAACAACCAGCCAGAGGCGGCGCTGGCCTCCGATTCGCCCAATCACAATCCAGTCTAGAATCTGTGGACAACCTATTAAAGTTAGGGTGGTCATAATCTTATGGCTGGTTGGTCTGCATACCAGCTGTTGGGACCATACATAAGAAACGTCATTAGTTAAGGCCACTGTGGGGACTGTGTTCACCTGGATGTCAGAACCGCGGCTGGGTTTTAAGAAGAACCATGAAGTACAGCAGAACTCTGTGGAGTTGGACTCATAACGATCTCTGGTGTCATTTAGGAGCTACATGCATGTTCCAGTGGGTCCCACAGCATTTCTTTAACTATACCACTGCTTTGGTTTTTCTACGACTGGTGATGCTTTCAGAGCTGGAAGATTATTTTTAACCCAATGATGATGATTTGGGAAATGATCAACGTGTCGGAACAAACCAAGGAAAACTTCATTATTCATGACCCCAACAAACAATAACATACTGATATATTTCATGCACTGGTCCCTTGTTGTCTCGTTGGGTCGGTGCCTCTTCACCACCTGCAGATGTAAGCTGAAGTCCCTGATGTTGATCTGGTGGGGAACCACTGCAAGCCATCCGAATTTGGCAGTGTTTTTGTTTTTAAAGACCCTTCAACATAAAACACTGAAGCTAACCTCAACACAACTGAACTCCTGATCGTTCTCTAATGGAAATACGAAGAACAAAGAGAGGCATGCTTCCAGCGACCGCCGGCTCCGAGTTCCTGCCGAGGCTCAGCCTGACGACAGAAGGCTGCGGTATTCTACACCCTGCGGGACGCAGAGAGAGGACAGACATGAACAAACACACAAACACGCCACCACCGAGTGTTTGGAGGGTGTCCAGACTGTGGCTCGGCCTACAGGTGACCTCTGCCGGCTCCACACTACAAACAGCAGCAAAACAACAACAGTGACGGCCGTGGCGCCCGTCGCCTCTATCTGTCGTCGGGTTTGGGTGAGTCCAGCGGTTCCTCGTCTTCCTCCTTCTCGTCTTTAGCGCCAATGAGCCGCTGGCGGGCGAAGTCCTCGAATATGATGTCATCATCACTGAGGGACGGAGAACGTGACTGAGATTAGTTCAGAGCTTCGGTTCAACAACATCAATCTGCTGCCCACACGAACAAACCGCTGCCCAAAATTATTCATACCCCTTAGATTTAAAGTTATCGCCTAACTTGAGAAATATTTCCTCTTGCTGCAACTGAAACTATGTGGGTCAGAAGAATAAAAAAACGTGTTAGTCCCACTTTTATGCAAATGCTCATTTGTACCTGTTAAATATTTTGGGATTTTGTGAGTTTCCTGCATTCTCCAATGATCCAAATAGTCTAACCAGATAAACACGGTTTAATGTGTGCAGATGGCTCAGAGGGAACAGCAGCAGCTTTCTGCACTTGGTTTGTATTCAAGTCAAGTGTTAAATTAGGACCTGTGATATGAATTATGGCAGCGTGCAACTCAAGAAACGGCTGCAAGGTAATCATCAAAAGTCTTCAACTCCCAGTGGCCGCAGCACAAAACATCATAAAAACTAATAAGAATGCTGCAGAAAGTCAAAGAGCAACGGGGAAGACTGGTGATGCAGGAAGTGCAGGAGAACCAAAGGATCAGGGCGTCCAGTGGATGCAGCGCAGCAGCGACCGAGTCCAGACGGTCCAACAGAGGCGCCAGCTGACCGAGGCAGAAAGACACTTTTCAAGTCAGTTTGCACCAAGTCTTGGATAAATCTCTGGGGAAAGAAATCTTCTGGTCTCTGTTTGAATCTAAAATCGAATGTTTGATGCTAAAAAGTAAAAGCGTTTAAGTTAAACATGGTGGAGGAAACATGATGGTTTCTAATTACAGGAAATGGCCAAATAATCATGGTGAGAGTTTAGCTGCTGTGTTACCTGATAAATATTTTTATTCATTACTGAGAGATGAATTGATTATTTGGTTTTGCCATTTCTTGTTGGTTAAATGAAAATAACTTTAAATCCACTTCCACCTGCAGTCTGAATAATTTGGCATTTTGCTGCAGCTCTCTGTAAATCTCTGTCAGATGTTTCTCTGCGACTCTCAGAGACGGTTGAGGTGAAGATCACCGTCAGCCACAGGGAGTCCTATTCCTTCCCCATTGGATGCTCATTCCCACCATGTGATTGGCTGATGTGTTCTTCATATTCACGTTTTGTTGAACAGGCGTCTCTAAAAATGAACCTTTTCTAAAAAGAAAAACCAGATTATTCAGACAAGAAGCACCAACATCACAGCCTTCATCCTAAACCTTCAGAGGAAGGTTGTAGGTTTGACTCCAGATTCCTCCTGTCACATGTTGACACACGTTAACCCAAAGTTGCCTACGAATTGGTGTGAATGGGTGAAAACCAGTTTGAACATGGCTGTCTATTTACCTTTTTAAAACACCTGATAATCTTTGACTGTCCAGACAACAATCCATGTCTGATGAGTTGAGAAGAAGGCAGAAAGTGAATTGGAATCGATATCCATAGAGCAGATGAGAGTCTAGCCTGATGAGAGGATGAATTTTAATTGAACAAACACAGAGATGCTTCTGCTGACTCCCGTTAGGTAAAATAGGGATGCACACGCATTTTACATGTTTAGAGTAAAGCCTTCGATAAAACCCGCAGCATGAACCAAGCATCCTGCACACCAGGAGCCTGGATGCATTTTGACAAAATGAAGCCAACAAACCACAATCTGCTTGTTTTCAACATTTAACTGAGGATAAATTCATGCGCAGGCTTAATGAGACTCATTAGACCGAGTCACGGCTTGTTCAATTAAAAAGCTTCCAAAGAAAACATCAGAAAGTGCATTAAAACTGAAAATAAAACCAGTAATGAATCCCACTGAGCATGGCAGACCTCCTAATAGGGTCGTAAAGCAATCTCACTATCATAGTAATAATCAGTAAGATCCAGAGTGGCTGCTGACAGCCAGAAGAGTTTCCAGTTTAAAGCCCATTTCCTGCAGCTCCCACAGCAGCACGCATTAGGATGCATTAAGGCTGAGACTCTGGAGATGGCTTCAGAGCTGCTAATGCGCTAACGGGCCGAGAGGAAACCCTCTCTGCTGCCCGCACCGTCCAATCAGAGAGCCAGCTGACGAGCAGGAAAGACAGGAGGGCTGCTTACTTTGTGTCAAACTCAATCAGGTTAGTGTCGATCGGAGCTTCATCTGGAGCTGCGGAGAAGTCAGAAAGAGGCAATCAGAGCTCTGTCATCACATCACAAACCAACATGATTCACTGCTCTCCTCCATGCAGGGTTTCTTTTTGTTTCTAAGACAACGTTGGCGTTGTGGGCAGGATTTCTGGCAACAGTGTAAACAGAAATGAGACACACCGGATTCGTTATGGAATCCAACCGACAGAAAAATGTTTTCACTGTTTCTGTTGACATCATTATATTGACATTCTACAAATAATCTACAGGAGAACATATAACTCACTCTAAACGCACATTTCAGTAATAACAGCCGTCACTGTATTACCCGTGTTGATGCTAACATTATCAGATGATCACACATCAGAACATGCTAGGACCATTATATGGCAGATCGCTTCCATGTGGGAGAAAAGGAACCCCAGACCATGAATATTAACCATAGTAACTGTTCATGTATTCACATAGAGGGCATCAACAACCAAGAAATAAGATATGTCAGATGGGAAATAACTTTTAGTTTTCAGCCTTTAAAGTGGACAGACGTAGTTTTTACTGAAGGAAATTCCTCCTGTTTGATTTATTGGGGGCTTGTCCGGGATCATTAGGCTGTTTTCTGTCCAGCAATGTAATCTAAGCCATGATGGAGAACAGTTAAAGCAAATGTAACTGTTTTAATCCAAAAGACAGGAAGGTTTTTTATTGAAATAATTCAGTTTATTATTCAGTCAGAAATGTGAACACATCTCACCGTCTCTGTAGATGGACTCCTCCAGCGGCTTCGGGTGCATTAATGTGAAGGGCAGCTCAACAGAGACGTCACTGGAAAACAGATCATCCAGGTGCACTGAAGCTCAGAAAACATCACTTTTCAACTGCAGATTCATTAGGGGCATTTATTAAGGTGGATATGTGTCAGCACCAGAAAGGCGGTGCAGTAAGATGTTCGGATGACCTTTTGTAAATCTCAGCATGAAGGTTTCCATCCGTGACAGAGTGAAAGGTTACCTGGAAGCCAGATCTCCGAGAAGCCTGAAATCAATAAATATTTAACACCATCAGTTTCAGAGCAGCATCATTTCCAGCTGTTTAAACTGAGCCAGTCTCTTCATTTCATGTTATCAACATCACGTTAATCCACTTAGTCACTTCTACAAGCTGATTCTTTCACCACAGAGTGCATGTCAGATACTGCAGTCAGAGATGAGACAGTTTTCTCTTAGGAGCTAGCTCCTCTAGACTTAAAGTCGCAGAGACACAAACTGTGAGTAACTGGCTTATTTTCTGAAAGGATGCATGAAAACTGCAGGACATTTTTCTTTTAATAACTCTAAAGCTGAATCTTTATTAAAATTAATTAAGAACTCCAGAACCAGTTCCCATTTTCCTTTCTTGTGGTTCTTCAAAGTTTTCCTAATCTGTTTCTTCACTACACCCTGAGAAACACCAGGTTTTCAGGTTAATCACTCCATTTAATCTGAAATCCTGTTTTTTCTCAAACTGTGTTAAACTGAGTTATTTTCAGCTTTAAGAAAATAACTGGGATCAGACTGCATCCACCTGTGGCAGGTTGTCTTTAAACCAAACCGATGAAGTTTCAGGATTTCTCTGCGGAGCTTTTGTCCTTCCTGGACTAATGTGGCGTTGTTGGCAGGATTCCCAGATTTATTCAAGGTTTTATGCTGAAGTTGCGCAGCCTGCCATGAAACTCAGGTTAAAGAACAGATATTCTCCTGATCCAACTCGGCCCAATGGTTGGGTTTCAAAGCAACGCCTGCCGCCTACAGCAGGCCCGGCATGCAGGATGCCGGGCCTCCAGGACCCACTTTGGGCCCCCCTGGCCTACAGACTTCAGAACAAAACCAGCGGTTTAGCTTATTCTGATGCATTCACGGTAGAGTTTATTAACGTGTACTTTCCGGTTGAAATGACTGAAAGTAAAACAACCCACCCGCCTCGGGACACCACCAGCTTCACTTTGACTTTGTAGGACACGATGATGCCGAGGATCTCCCTGTTGGCTCCTTCTCTCAGGCTGCCCAGGAGAGCAAACACGCTGTCAGACACCAGCAGCCAACTCTCCGACTGGCAGTGAAGGCACCACGAGCGTGGCAGGACTCACAGAGTGCTGGAGGCCAGGTTGGTGTCTTCGTGCTTCAGTTTTCCGTCCAGGGCGAGGCCGCGCTTCTCCCGGTTGTTGGCCAGGAATGGAGTGAGGGTGAAAACTTTGCAGAACGTTGAGCTGGGAGCCACAACGTCACTGAAAACACAAGACAGAGTCACTGCTCAGCCGTCGGCTGGCCAAACGTTCTGCCATATGGGCTGACAAGGAGTCATGGGCCGAAAGAAGAAAAACCTAAAACCAAGCAAATGAAGTATCCTGGTATCTACTGCAGAGAAAAAACGAAAGGGATTTTTCCGACGTGTGCAGGGACCAATGCAGGAAGGAAACGGGAATACATTCCTGCAAAAACACTCAGAAATTTTCTCTGAAAATTTTGAAAAGAACATTTATGGCATTTGAAATTAAGACATTTCCAAGTTTTTTGTAGAAAATTTCTGATATTAATCTAAAAATCATATTTTCTAGCAAACAGAGATTACGCTCAGAGTTTCTGAGTTTTCTGCAACGGCCCTAAAACGCTGCAGCAGATCTAGCAGGTTTTCTGTTTAAAAGCAAAAGCTTCTGGTTTTCAGTTTCTTTTGGGCTCAGTTGAATAAACTTATTTTCAGTAATAACAGGATTTGGGTCACTTTGTTTCAACACGTTTTCCATATTTATCCAAGTTTAAGAGAGAAGAAAAGCTGATTTTTCAGTAAAAGTCTCTGGATAAACTCGGTTGTATCTTTCATTAAAACCTGGTTAGAAAACATGAACACTTTGTCTTATACTTTACATTTTCCATTTTTAATTCTGCATCTGTGGGCCACAAATGGCCCCCGGACCCAAACCGGCCGGTTCTGAGTTTCCACTGTCAGTTTACTGGTCTCTACTGGGTCTGAGTGTGTTTTTAATTTAATGCATATTTTAAACTACATCTGTTACAATAAGTAATTAATCCATTAACTGCATAATAAATTAAAATGTGCTCAATAATTTCCATTCTGGTTGATATTTCTTCAGTTATGGCATCATTACCAATATGTTGTTAATGGCTTCATTTCTGTTTTATTTATTGTTTTAGATTTTTTAATAAAATTAAAGTTTAATGGTTTGAAGTGACAAACTTTCATTATTATACCTTTATCAATATATTACATGAAAATGGTCCAAACAAACAATATTATCACTTATCACAATAATTATTGGGGCAATTTATCAACATTTATATCATGACAGGTTTATTATAAACTAAACATTTATTTTAACAATGTACTTCCATTTATTTTGATTCAGATTCCAGTTTGGACCAATTAGCTTCTAAAATATGAGACTCTGACTGATTAAACTAAAATAACATTAAATGACACCAACCTGCTGGCAGGAATTAATATTGATGATAATAAAATATTTCCTTACAGCAGCAAACTCTAAAGAGAATATAGAAAATTATTTTAAACTGTTTGTCAAAAGAGTCCCTTGATGTTTCCACCATCGTGGTGGAAACATCCTGGATTAGATTCATCTGTGAATCGGCTGCATCTTGTTCTTTGGTTTGTAATCAGAGCCTAAATGTTGCTGAACTGAAGCTTTGATTTGAGTAATTAGAAATGTTTTCTGATCCCAGTGTTTGTGTTTGTACTGAGACTCACTCCGACTCTTCCACGGCGACGGGACATTTGTACTGCGCCGTGTTGAACAGGCAGATGTCCGCGTACTGCCGCACTGCACACACACAAACCAGAGTTAAACGATCCAACATGGCCGCCGCTGCAGGAGCCACAGGAAACGGCCTGCACCTGAGATCTTCATCTTCTTCACCGTCTTGTTGGTGTTGTTGGTGACGTGAACGTTGACGCTGATGGGCTCGCCGTGGTAGTAAATCTGAGACAGAGAAGAAGAACTTCCATCAGAACGACGTCGGACAGGAAGCCACCGTTAGCGCCACCTTCTGGACAGACCGAATATCTGGAGACTTCAATGTGTCGCCAACAAATAAAGAAAGTTTATCTAAAACAAAGTCCCAAAGCTTGAGGAACAACATAAAACGTTTTTAACCAACTCCACTAACCCAGAGTCAGGAGCAGCTAATTTACTCAGTTATGTTTATTTGAGTCAATTTTTTTAGAGAAATTTACTTTCAGGAGTATTTTTTACTTCAGTAATTTTATTATGAAGTATTTCTGGATTTTCTTCCCACCGAATGAAGGACAAACATGTTTTAACCAGAAATCCACCCGACAGACACACACCTGCAGTTAAAGTTTTATCAGTTTTTTATTGAAGGAAACTGATTTGGATTGAATGTTTCCTTTGCCTGGTTTTGTTAATTTGTGATTATGTTATTTATATTAATTATTTTCATTTTGGTTTGTGAAATACCAAAATTTCCACTTAACTTTATACTTTGCTTTGTCTGATGATGTCATTTCTAAATATTAAAGAGGACCGCTTACTCAGTATTTAAGTCGATTTTTTACCAAACACTTTGTTGCTTTAATTTGAATAAAAATATGTTGAAGTTGTGCGACTTCAGAATCACTTTTGGCTAAAGCTAAGCTGAGTAAAGCTAACAGCTGATACTGAGGCAACGGTGTGCTAACCAATCACACTGTCTGTCTGTGAATTCACTGAAATCAGACCATCTGCAGGGTTTTCTTGCAGAGCAGGTTCACCTCTGCGGCGTTTATGCATGAAGGCTCACATCCAGAGAATAAGCTCCAGTGTGTGTGCCAACTGTAAAAAGCCTCAGCGCTTGCTCAGCTCGGCGCGCTCAATGCTAACCTCTAAAAGCTCAACTACAGCAGCCGTACGGCGTCTGGCCCAGCCAAAGTAAGAAACCATGACTGGACGTGTTGAGGATCTGAGGACGCTCCACTGCCAAGCAGGAGGCAAAATGTTTCCCTGTAAACCATCACCAGTGGTGGAGAAAGTACTCAAAAAATGTACTTAAGTAAAAGTACAAATACACAGTCAA